TCTAATTCTTAAGGCTCCTATATTTGGTATGGGTCTACTTGACATTCAAGAGCAGCCAAGTCCGTGGTCCCCTGTAAGCAGGGATGAATTCTCTAGGTTCCTTTCGTATCACGCAAGATGAACGGTTTAGTTTAGGGGCTGAACGGAGTTTCGGGAGTTTAAAGGTTTAGGGTTTAGNNTTAGGGTTTAGGGTTTAAGGGCATGCAGGCGTTTCAGCTGATAGGGGGTCCAAATATACACTGCGAGCAGTGGGTTCCGTTAATTCTCACGACTCCGGCATGACGACATAAGTCACCCCGACATTCCCGCAGCCTTATGACGCCATATCGCAAGGTTCGCAATGAAGCTCGCAATTGAAACATCTTCGCAAGCCACCTTAACCCAGACCCCCGGAAGGATCNNGACCCTATACTACTAAAGGCTCTTCATAGGATCTCCCTTAGGTGATCTATTTTTTAGATCCTTTTGGGGGTCTGGGAAGTCGCAAATCGGAAGTTAGCCGTGACCGCTGGGCACTAAAGCTCGGAATGGCCTCGCGGATCAGCTGCTGCCTCTTTTGTACCGCATTGCTGTGGGCAGCCTGGCTACATGGACTGGGTTAGGGTTTAGGGTTTAGGGTTTAGGGGTTTAGGGGTTTAGGGTTTAGGGTTTAGGGTTTAGGGTTCTTGTCAAGGTATGTTAAGGTATTGGATTTGGATGACCACAACAGGGAAACCCCAAGATTGACCATAGGCCCCTATTCTGGGTAACGTAAACCAAGTCCCTATAACAGGGCCCCTATTATGGTAACGTAAACTAAACCCCCTGAAGAAGAACCCAGAAGAGAATAACTCAACGACAACACTTAGACCAGGACCCAAAGCCCCAATTTGTAAACCTCCTAGGCCAAGACCGAATTCGTAAACCCTAAACCCTAAACCCTAAACCCCTAAACCCTAAACCGTTGGCGAGACAAGGGTTGAAGCTTACGCGTACCTTCACCCCTTAATAATGCACCGAAGGGATCTAAAGCATGATTCACGTTTTATTGCTGGGTTGAGGTGTTGGAGCCTCTGGACAGAGGGGATTGCAATCGTGGGGAGTGCATTGGAGGCTGCGTAACGTGGGTGCCTTCTTCAAGATACTGGTAATAAACGCTACTTGGAGGATCATGGGTAATTATAAGTAGGGTTATAAGCCCCCTAACATGGGTTATAACTATAGTTACCTTACTTATAACCCCACTTATAACTACCCATGAACCTCCAAGTACTTCATGTGGTGCCTAAGGATCGGACGTCGTGTCTGAGGCCAAAGGAATCTGGATAGGCCCTAGACCCCACCTCATGGACCCTAGCTTAAGCCCTTAAGCGTGGAAAGATCACGCAAACGTCACAGGGTTCGAGTTTACCCACTCAGCTACTGAGAAACCGCACAAAAAATCTATGCAACTCTTACAGCCTCATCCCAGACCCCCAAAGGGATCTAAAAAATAGAGCCCCTAATTAGGGACCCTAACTACTAAAGGGTACTTTATAGGACCCCCCTTAGGGGATCTATTTTTTAGATCCTGGGGGTCTGGGATAGTACCCGTGCAGCATCCGCATACAGCCGATTAGATGCCTTTGTAGCAGCCCTTGTAGAGCTGCAAGCCGTATATCCTTTCCCTGGGGGTCCAAGTGCCCAAAGAGTAGGGTTTCAGGGTCCAAAAACCACTCAAAGTATGGATTTTGGGACCTAAAACCTTACTATTTGGGTACTCGGACCCTCTGGGTTTTAGAACCCTAAGACTCTAAACCCAGAACCCTAAACCCTAAACCCTAAACCCAGAACCCTAAACCCTAAACTCTAAATCCAGAACACTAAGTCCTCCCAGAGCCTTCTGGGCAGTTGGGAGCTAAAACGGGACTTAAAAGGACCCTAATTTAGAGAACTTCGCCCATGACAAAACCCTAAACCCTAATCCCTAAACCCTGAACTCTAAACCCTAAACCATAATCCCTAATCCCTAAGTCCTAATCCCTAAACCCGAATCCTTACACCCTTAATACCTAAACAAGCCCTAATCCCTAAACCCAGAAAGCAATCCAGCCGGGTGACCTCAAGCCTCGCCAACTCTCGCTCCGTGCGCCGCAGCTCCTGAAAGAAAGCACAGGGCTTCTTAGGGAGGTTTGGAGTTTAGGAGGGTTCAGGAAGGTTAGGAGACCCTAAACCCTAAACCCTAAACCCTAAACCCTAAACCCCTAAACCCTAAACCCTAAACCCTAAACCCTAAACAGGAGGGTTTAGGCAGGTTTCAGGGGTTAAGGTTTAGGAGGGTTTAGGGTTTAGTTTAGGGTCCTACAAAGGCTCTATGAAGCTCTATAGCGGTTCTTAAGGGCTTCGGGGTTTGAGGATTTAGGGGTTTAGGGGTTCTTGAGGGTTTGGGGTCTAGAGTTTACCGGGGTTTGCTGGGGTTCTCAAGAGTCTGAGGTTTTGGGATTGGGGTTCATAAGCTCTGAACTACAAGGGTTTCCATGTTGAAAGATTGACTTTTTGTTGGTACTTGTTGGTCTTTTTGGGGCTTTACTGGGCTTTGAAGTAACCAGGGAGAAAAAAGGTATAGACTTTTATTTCATAATGTAACCCTAAACCCTAAACCCTAAACCCTAAACCCTAAACCCTTTAAGGAACAGGTCCCCAAAAAAGTATTCAAGAATTGCCCGGATTCGGGCCCTGGGGCTGAAAGTCCAGAGCGGTAGAGTTGGCTTTGTGCCCGAGAAAGCACAAACTATTAGGGTTTAGGGTTGAGGGTTTAGGGTTTAGGGTTTAGGGTTTAGGGTTATATATATATATATATACATATATACTATATTCACGAACCCTAGAAAGGTAGGTCGGTTTCGTTTTCCAAGAACCTGACCCAAAATAGCGTACACATTCCGAGATAGACCGAAGTATGTAAGGCCAAACGTTTAAAGTTCTCCATCAGTCTGACCAACCTTCGACGCTCTTGCCATTGCTACAACCAGAAGCCTTTCAACAAAAAACCCTTACCCACTCTAAACACTGAGCCCTATATAAACCCTAAACCCTAAAATCCAAAACCTAGACCCTAAACCCTAACCTTAATCCCTGAACCCTAAACCCTAAACCCTGAACATCCACATCCCCAACACCTTAAGCTCCCTCGAAAGCCTACAGAGGTCAGGTTTTGAGCAGTCACCCTTTGTGATGGTACTATAGGAGCCTTAATGACGAGAATAGGGTTCGGGGTTTAGGGTTTAGGGTTAATGTAGGGGCCTTAATAACGAGAACAGGGTTTCGGGGTATACTGTATTATAACAATAGTAGGGAACCCCTAAACTAGTATTGATAATTATTACTGCCTCTATATATTATGACCCGTACCTCTAGGATTCAATAAGCGCAAAGTTCTTAGGGGTTAGGGGTTCTGCAAGTGTTCCAATGAGATTCCTACAGCGGTTCTGAAGGGTTTTTGTGGCTTCTCCGTTTCCAAGAGCAAGAGAGACGTAAACAGGTACTTCTGGCGCAGGAAAATGCAGATCAGGGAAGCAGTCGATTCCTTCTGGCGCCGGCCTCCTGTAATTAGTGGCTCGGGGCTGTTGGTTCAGAGGACTTCGTAAGTGAAGTCATAAGTACCTTAGCCGGTCAAACCGTAGCCTAGAAACTCCACAGCCCCTAAATTCACGAACATACCTTGCATTGTAATCAGTACTTGGAGGTTCATGGGTAGTTATAAGTGGGGTTATAAGTAAGGTAACTATAGTTATAACCTATATTAGGGGACTTATAACCCCACTTATAACTACCCATGAACCTCCAAGTATCCCTTTTGAAGTTAAGGTAGATTCGTTAGTCGAAGGGGTTTGAATCCTGAACATGGGTTTAGGGTTTAGGGTTTAGGCTTTAGGGTTTAGGGCGATTCCCAGGCTTTGTATTTGGTTGGGGCTGCAGGGTAGAGGAGAGGAAGGGTTCAGGGTTTGATGACTGAGCCCTTTAGGCCCTTGAGGGTTTAGGGATTCAGGGTTCCGGTTTTCATCTGTCTTGCATTCTGTCTTCGGTCCTGCCAGGAAAGACCGCTCCTGAGCCCAGTCCGTGCATCGCGCAGTTTTCGAATCTGATTCTGCAACGCGCACACTGAAACTAGGCAGCCCTGCAGCAACAATGGGAGAGCTTGCCACCTCGCGGCCCCTTGCGGGGGCCTGGTTGCATGCTTGCGGTCCCCCGCGCTGCTCATTCCTGTTTCGGCACATCGGCATCGCACTGCCGTGCACACGATCCCTTCGCGCATGTTGAGCGAGCCGGATGTTGCCTGGCACCGCTCCCTCGTTGCGACCAACTGGAGGCTAGACATGGTCGCACATTTTGAGCCGGCGCGGACGGCCTCACGCAGCTTAAGTCGGCGCGGTCGACCTCGTGTTGTTCCGCGGGCACGGTCCACGTTGCATGAGCTCGGCGCGTCCTTGGCCCGCATTCTTGCAGGGTTGCAGCGGTACGAGGGCAGAGAAGCGGCTGCATGCTGCTAATGTAGGGGCCTTATTAATTAGAATAGGGTTTTGGGGGAAGTTTTCCTATGATTAGAATAATGAGGAGCCCCCAAAATAGTATAGATAATTATTAAGGCCCATAGATTATATCGATCCCTTTCGTACATTTACCGCTGCCCAGGTCACAACTAAACCCTAAACCCTACACTCTAAAGCCCCAAGGCCCCACCTGAGAGATTTGGGCCAGATGAATACTACTGTTGATGATATAAATCCAGGGATAGGGTTTAGGGGATAGGGTTTAGGGTTTAGGGTTTAGGGTACCTTAAGGACCCCAAACTATGGGAATTATGGTATATTCCCTATTCTGGGTAATGCCGGATTTCTATCATCAACCGCAAGGACGGAACCTTCCAAAGCCCTAAATCCGGTGACTTACCCAGACCCCCAAAAGGATCTGAAAAATAGATCCCCTAATAAGGGGGTTCCTATAAAGGTTTAGGGTTTAGGGTTTAGGGTTTAGGGTCCCTAAGGGGGTTCCTATAAAGTACCCTTTAGTAGTTAGGGTCCCTAATTAGGGGATCTATTTTTTAGATCCTTTTGGGCCTCTGGGTTAAGTGCAATGAAGAAGGCGCGGTCCTCCTCACAGGCTCCAAATGCGGCGGTGGCCTGTGAAAGGTCAAGGTTCAGGGTTTAGGGTATTAATCAGCCATCTCAGTTTTAGGGAATACCTGAAGATATTAATCCTTATATGGCAATGCAGTAACCCTAAAACGAACCCTTACAGCTTGAAGGAACCCATAGAAGCAAGGGTGCGTCATTTCCTCGTATTCGTCTTAACAGGGAGATCGCAAAGCCCGTCTAGCTCTTAGACAAGTAGAAGCTAGGCGGCATTCTCGAGACCCGACTGAAAGCCAGAGCACCGTACGCAAGTAAACAACTTGAAAGCATAGTTTTTCGAGGTTTTTGTGCTTCCGGAGCCCGGTTACCTTGTTTTTGCACCCTAGTTACTAAGTCCCATGATCCTCCGAGCAATCATCAGAACCGGGGCTGTTGGCGTATATCATCATATCACGACATGAAGTTACATAAGGAGCTTTACATAATCTAAACTACGTTCACTTTAAGATGGAGAGAGACGTTAACAGCACAAGCCGTTACCAAATGACCAACTGTTTTCGGGCACCGCTAACAAACGAACAAACACACACACACATGATAATAGTAATATTAATAATAGTAATAATAGTAATAGTAATAATAACAATAATCACAATATTAGTTATAACAATCATAATGATAGAAACAATAAAAATACTAAAAATAATAAATAATAACACTCAGTATAATAAGACTAATAATATATATTAACATGTATATATATATATATATACACATACACACTAGAGCTAGAAGCAGTGTAGAAGGCCCTTCACGGATCCGGACAGTCCTGCAAGATGTGACTGGAGCAGCCAAGAACGCATTGCCGCTGCTTCGGGTTTAGGCCTGGGCCCTAAAGAACCTATCTGTGGAACGCCGTGTAGAAGGAATCATAGTGGGGTTTAATGTTTAGGGTTTAGGGTTTGGTAAGGAACCCTGAAATTGTAGGTTGTCTGTTTAGGTTCCAGGCAAGGCTTTGGGTTTGGGGGTTGTTGCGATGCTGCTGCTCAAGGACTCGCAGCCGTATGCCCTAATAAGGTGTACTGTAAAACCCGAGACCAAACCACCAAAATGCCCCAAAACCCCCCATGCCCGAAGACCCTGACTTGTAGTCACTGTAGTCTGAACCCTGAAGCCTAAATGCACGGATGCCTGCAGAAGCTGGGAGGAAAGATCTCCCATGCTTTGTCGAGCCTCCCACTCGGATACTGTGTGCTTTAGTGTAGACCCCTTGGGTGTAAGGGTTCCATGGAAGGTTCTATAAGGGTTCCGCGAGGGTTCCCTACAGGGTTCTATACTGGATTCAAGCTTAAAGGCTCTAGGGAATTACTCCAGACACCTGATTTAAAAAAACATCCTCTCTTCGACTGAGTATTATTAGGACCCCCTAGTATAATCTTGAATAAAGGAAAAGGGTGTATGAAACAGGGGTCGACAATGACTGTAAACTTTAAACCCTGAAAGAAGGAAGTCTGATAGAACGTAGAAAACGGGTTTTTTTAGGGGTTTAGACTGGCTTGGGAACCCTAAACCCCAAACCAGAGGAAGCTCTCCTCTCCTCTCCTCTCCTCTCCTCTCCATTAGCCGGACCCAAAAAAGCTCAAACTTTCTTATATATAGACCAAACATATCGGACAAACACTTTGGGGTTTAGGGTTTATCCCACCGGCTATCTGAGAACATTCTTTAAGCAAAGAGGCCTTTTCATCATGCTTGAAAGTCTATTCCTCAGATAGCGTGTCTTGGAGCCTGTTACGCGGAGTTTGGGCTTTCAAAATCGATCGGGTTTAGTGTTTGTAGATTTGGGATGTGAAGCTGCAGGGTCAAGAGTTTGGGGTCTGAAGGTTTTCTGGGTAGAAAGGACCGGCAGACCTCTCCGGTATAGCATGTCAGTTATAGCATGTTAGTATAGTGCAGTACAGCATAATGTAGTCTAGTATAGCAAGCCGTGTATAGGCACAACGGGACAATTCGAAATTGAATTCCGCTGGTGCAACCCTACACCTCAAACCTGAACGCACACTCTAAAACTCTAAACCCTAAGCCCCAAAACAGCTGCAGAGCAAGCACACGTCTGAACGTCAGGATACGATTCCTGCTTTTGCCCAGAATAAGTTTGTGAGCGTTTGCTAGGGTTGCAACTAATTAAGTCAACTACAGCATTATAGCTGTAACTTCTCCCGGCTCCAAGTAAAGGTACTTATAGCCTTACTTACTAAGTCGCATGATCCTCCGAAGCGGTTTAGATAAGGAACATACCCTGAAGCTTAGGGTTTAGGGGTTTAGGGTTTAGGGTTTAGGATACCCTGGACTGCGGTCAACCCAAGACATTCCTCGAAAGATTGGTTGGATGATTGATCTCATGCGGCAGTCCGGGAAAATAGGGGCCGGCAGAATTAATATTCCTAAAGGGTCCCGAATACAACCATTTCTATTTGTACACCCCAAAACCCGTGTTGAATTGTTCAGGGCCCTGAATTAAAACCGATAAAACCCGAATATAGGCTTTACAAAACGCTTTTTGTCTGAAGCTCACATTTCTGCTTTCCAGGTCCACGTAAACCCTCCGGCTTTCTACATGTGGCTGCGCCTCCTCCATTCGCATCAGGACTCGATGACCTGAAATGACGCGGGAGCTGTTGCATATATTCGAGTCTACGATATTCGACTATACTATGTTACATGACCTTATGGTGTATACTTGGTGTTATGCATGATATGCCCTTGTGTTTACATCCTGAACCCTCTTGTGCGCTGACCGGCGCTTCTGGGGCAGAAGACTTCGGCTTGCCTTAAAACTTCTCTTCTTCAATAACCGGGCCCACAACAGCTCGCAAACTTTCTACTATAGACCAAGAATATAAGACCGACACGTTGAAAATTCTCCTCATTGGCCAACCAAGAGCCCTAGTTTTTGCGGGGCCTTTGTGTATCCATGTCACCCTAAACCCTCGACCGTGGTAGACTGTCGGAGAGAAAAGCATCACCAAAACACCCAGAGACTCTAAATCCCCTTGCTTAAGGAAACCTCCTTAAAATGTAGGGTTTAGGGTTTCCGATTTTTGATCCTAGGTATATTCCTTAGCTAGGGCACATTGGAGTCTCCTTGTATTGCTTCCATCAACTTCCCAGACCCTTAAAAGGATCTAAAAAATAGATCCCCTAAGCGGGTTCCTATAAAGTACCCTTTAGGGGGTCCCTAATTAGGGGATCTATTTCTTAGATCCTTTTGGGGGTCTGGGTTTCGCTTCCAAGCGAACCTGGACACTCATCCATAGTCTTGGATGGAGCTCCTGGTCGTTACTTCAGGAATATGGGGACTTAGTCACTAGTGTCAAGTAGGGTTTAGGGTTTAGGGTTTAGGGTCATACGTACCTGACTAGGGTCATCCTATTGTTACGTCTATTTAGAACCATTTGCTAGATCCCGTGATACGTCCAAGAGCTCCCTTCTACGCCACAGTGAATCAAACCCTGCCTCAAAGCTTGGCCTTTGGATACCAGCACCCCAAACCTTATTCACTTCTTTCCCTAATTCCAAATCACCGCACACCCCAAACCCCAATCCTACTTCCGAATTCAAAGACGCCAAGCCTTGGACCAGAAACCCTCGACACTAACCAGTATCCCTGAACTCCAGAACCAATAGTTATAGCCTCTATTCCCTGAAGCCTCAACCCTAACTAGGTTCCCCACTAAACCCTCTACTTTGCTACTGGCAGTGGCAGCATCAAGAAGACCCCAAAGTAAAGGGCAGAGGGGCAATTTCGGGGCCTTTAGAGTTAAAATTGGGTTTCGGGGTATGTTGTGGGAAAGTCATAACCAAGAACTCTACGGAAAAAAATATTACTGAACAATCTAGTAGTCCCGCGACCCAAAACGCCCCAGCCCTCAGTTTCAGCCAATGTAATATCTGTAACTCCTATTTTACTATCCATTGCGAAGCTACTTATCTTTTGACTGCATGCAACTTGTCATACTACCCCACTAGAGCCTCTATACCTGTATCGTTATACCATAGAACCACCCATCCCAATAATCCACTTGATTTGTTAGTTCCTATTGCATGAAGAATTAATTTTCCAAATCTGTCCAAACTAACAGATACCCCTGTCTTTTTTAGAAGCAAAAATTGTCCGTGCCTTTTGGTAAATTAAGACCTCTCGCTATCCAAATCAATCTAAGGACCACTCTTACCTTTGCATAGTAGGGTTTAGGGTTTAGGGTCTAGGGTTTAAAATAACTAAGAAGCATCTCCATTTGTTAACATACTAGGGTTTAGAATAACTAAGAAGCATCTCCATTTGTTAACGTACGGTCCGGGGCACTGTCCAGCCGTGCTTCTAGCCAAGCACTCATTCGAGAGGCCGCCGGTGACAGAGCCCACAGCGCGGAGGAAAGGCCTTGGGTTTAAGGCGGATCCCGTAAGAGGATATGTGGGTTCAGGGTTTAAGGTTTAGGCTTTAGGGTGTAGGGTTTAGGACTTAGGGTTTAGGGTTTAAGGTTCAGGGCTTCACGGGTCTAGGGTTTAACATGGGGGCCTTTATTAAATAGAATGGGGTTTTGGTGTATATGATACTAGATCCATCATAAGGAGCGCCAAGACAGTGTGGATATTGTTTGGGCCCCTATCTGAGGGTTTGGAGCATTAGGGTTTAAGGCTTTGAGAGGGTTTAGGGTTTGGGGTTTTGCCAGAGGCCACAGTGCGGAGGAATGGCTTTGAAATAATGCCGGGGCCGAACTGATTACCTCTATAATCCCTATCTCCCCGCAAAGGTAATTATCACAGCACCTTTATCAGGTCTATCACGCGAATGGAAAGCTGGTGTGAGTCGTTACGGGTTTCTGCGCTTAACACACGGCTGCGGATAGGCCCAACATGGCCCGGTTTTTGTTGGGCATTAACTCGGTACTGCGGTTGAGGATAGAAAGTTTGTAACATGTTTGCTAGACGAATGGACGCCTGGAGGTCCTAAAGGTGCAGAAGTGACACCCCTGTTTGTTGCTATCCAGCATCCGCACTTCGAATTCGGAATCCTTCAGCTTTGCTTTGAGTCTGGGCCGATTGCGAGGGTCAGCGTTCACGGATGCTTCAGCTGATCCTGCACAGCAGTGCTGTCGCCACCATCGTATCCTTATCCCAGGTCACGACCGATCTGCCGCCAAGACTGGATCTGCTGCACATTCTTCAGCTGGTCCTGCACAGTGCTGCTGTCGCCACCGGAGCTAGCATCACCCCAAATCACGACCGACCCGTCGCCAAGAATGGCAGCTAACGCACCGGCATAAGCGCTTTTGGTGGCTTGGATCTGCTGCACCTTCTTCAGCTGATCCTGCACAGCACCACTGTTACCACCGTGGCGGGCATCACCCCAGGTCACGACCCAACCGTCGCCAAGAATGGCATCAAACGCCAAATGGGAGGCTTGGACCTCCTGCACATTCTTCAGCTCATCCTGCACAGCGCTGCTGTCCCCAGCAGGGCTAGGTCACGACCGATCCGTCGCCGAGAATGGCAGCAAACGCAGCGGCAGAAGAGCTGTTGGTGGCTTGGATTTGCTGCACATTCTTCAGCCTGATCCTGCACAGCACCACTGTTACCGCGGGCATCACCCCAGGTCACGACCGATGCGTCGCCGAGAACGGCAGCAAACGCGAAATGAGAGGCTTGGACCTGCTGCACATTCTTCAGCTCATCCTGCACAGCACTACTGTCACCGCCGTGGCGAGCATGACCCCAGGTCATGACCGATCCGTCGCCAAGAATGGCTGCATAAGCCCTGTTTGTCGCTTGAGCTTGTACTCTGTCACCTGACCGCAGCCTGGCACGCTTGATCGACTCGCGTACATCCAGAATCCAGAACGTTTCCCGAGGCATCCAGCAGGCGCCCTCTTCCGACTCCAACTGCGGTCTGTGCCTGACGCCTCAGTATTCCCACCTTTACATCCACACCGGCTTCCACGGTGGCTTCTTTGCCACTGAGCGATCCAACTGTCACAGCAATCCACATGAGAAGACCTGCAGTCTGGGCCACCTTGGTTGTAAGATTGTAGAGACATTTACGGTGCCTGGTGCTTGATGCACTGCTTGGGTTTTCCTTGCACTGCCCTGCCCTGCTCTTGCTGCATGAACGAGATTCAAGTACAGGAATGAGTTTAGAGCTAAACCCTAGAAGGAATAGGTTTGGGTGGTTTAGCCGCCTCAGACGGCGTGGGGTGGGAGAGAAAAAAAGATCTGCCCACATTCAAGCTCCAGCAGCGAATCGTCAAACTACAATGCACTCGAAACTACTCTGTCGCTAAATACTTCCGCTATGCGCCACTCTACGGCAAACCCTGAGCCCTAAACCCCTAATCCCGAAACCTTAAAAACCTACACCCAAAAACCCGAAGCAATCTATAGAATAGGGTTCTAGGGTTTAGGGTTTAGGATTTAGGGAACCCTAAACCCTGCAGCCAGAGCACATTCTCCTCTGGCCAGGAATTGCTCCAGTACCTCTGCCAACCAGCCTCGCGATCTTCGAGAGACTAAGACATCTCTTGTTTCAGGTTTAGGGTATAGGGTTTGGCGTTAAGGTTTGGGCGTTTAGGGTTAAAAGTTTAGGGTTGAGGGTTTTGAGTATCGGGTTCAGGGTCTAGGTTAGAGCCCCAGCAGTTGAAGATCAGTGAACATTGCATAGAAGTCGTTCTGGAGCAACTGAAGATGTAAGGGCACCCACGAGAGAAGGCTTCACTACAGTCACTGTAGGGCCGAAAGGGGAAGGAAGACGTTTGCGTTTTGTCATTGCTGGCATTTCCTATACACCCTAAGACTCTAACAAGCCTCAACCCCAAATACAAAACCGTGGCGTTCTAATTACTACAAAACCCGCACCCCAAAGAGATCCATGCCCAGGAAAAGTCGAAGGTTACCTGATCCTAAACCCTAAACTCTAAACCGACCTACTCGCTCAGTTCACCTTGCTGACCCTGCTGAGCCTTGAAGAGCAGTTGGGTTGGGAGCCGAGTATGGTTGGAATACGTCGCTGTAGCGGTGATACGAGTTTAGGGGTTAAATCAAAGTTTAAGTCGCCTTCATAAGAAACAGAAATGTCTGTTCAAAAGGCTCTCGTAGTTTATATTTTGCATAGTGCGGCATCCACTGTGGAGGCCTTAGTACGTAGAATGTGGTTTTGCAGAACATTTCCAGTACAGCTATATAGGCTCTAAGGGGACCTCTAACCGTGGGGCCTAAACCCCAAACAGTAGGCGGGTATCTCTCTAACTTTATAGATCCCTTTGAGGAACCCTTTAACTTACTTCGCCAATAAGCCAGGGAAATCAAAGGTTAAACTTTCAGGTTGCTACTAAGTTATAAGAACCCAAAAAGTTTAAGGGTTGGGTATTGGGAAGACTTTCTGGGGGACCCTAAACCCTAAACCCTAAACTCTAAACCCCGAATCCTAAAGCCTGAACCCTAAACCACAAACCCCAAACCCTGAACGATGATCGGGTATAGGGACCCTAATTCAGAGAATTACCCATATGTTTCGTAAAGAGCCATGGCATGGTCTGAAGCTCTTAGGTCCTAACCTATAGGGTTTCGGGTTTAGGGTCTAGGGGCCTCAATGATTGCAAGACTTTCAATTAGTGGGTTTTGGAGGTCCTTAAGCTATAAATCTGGGAGCCTTAATACTTAGAATAGGGTTTAGGGGCCCCTTTTTCTATAATCAGAAAGAATAAGGAACCAGCAAAATAGTATAGGTAAGTCTTTTGGCCCTTATGTTACGTATATTATGGAACCCTAGGGATTAGTTTTGAAACGATTCAGCCTTCTATTCTTGCAGCAGGGCTGAGCTCAAGGGACCTAACGCCCCAGGACGTCTGTAAACTCTGAAAAAAAAGAAAAAGCCCTTCACGATTTGTATGCTTAAGGCCCCTAAACCCTAAACCCTGAACCCTTGAGGGTTCAAGGCCCTGTGAAGCCCTTGCGTTCTAGAACACGGCCTGGGCCCTGAATCTGAAGGTTTAAGGTTTAGGGCTTTAGGGTTTTAGGGGTTAGGGCTTTAGGGTTTAGGGTTTTAGGGTTTTAGGGTTTAGGGTTTAGGGTTTAGGGCTTTAGGGTTTAGGGGTTTTGGGGCTTTAGGGTTCCTAAGCCCTAACTGTCCAAGCCTGGTAGTGGCTCACTGCTTGGGACGTCATTCAGCAGGGGTAGGAGCTTCTCCTGGTTCTCTCTGAAGCGTGATAATTTTAGGGGCCTGAATATGTAGAATAGGATTAAAAAGGTTCCTTCTAAAGGGGTCTAATTTAAATGGAGTCTAGAAGCGGTATTGTGGGACTTAGTCTGTAAGCATATAAAACGATATAAGTACCTTAGTTAGGAGTGTAGGTAACCAAAAGATACCTAAACCCTAAACCCTAAACCCTAAACCCCTAAACCCTAAACCCTAAACCCCTAAACCCTAAACCCTAAACCCTAAACCCTAAACCCTAAACCCTAAACCTATTTAGAACCCTGGCTCCTAAGTCCCAGGATCCCTCAACTCATATAGGTGCCAGAAGAATTAGAGTTTAGGGCTTAGGGTTTAGGGTTTAGGGTTTAGGGTTGGGTTTCTTTTGTCAGGGCTCCCAGAAGGGTTTTTCTAAAGGTCCTGTAGGGTTCCAAAGCGTTGAGGGTATAGGGGCCTGAACAGTAGTTTAGAAAACGAGGTATGCTATAGTGCACTCTCTGTCAGGCTTAGGATTTGCGGCTTAGAGGTAAGCCTTACACCCTAAACCCCAACCCCTGGACCCGCAAGCTCTAAACAGGGTTGTTGGCTTCAGGAGTGTTCTGTGTTGTATGACGAAAAATCGTCTGAACATGGGAAATAACCAAGGATAAGCCAGAATAAGCTACAAGATAACCACGATTCACTAGAACTAGGGCATTCGAGAGTTGAGGTTCAGGATTTGGGATTTTGGGTGTTGGAGTTGTAGGCAAAGTGGTTTGGCTTTAAGGAAAGGTGGTTGGACCTAGCCGTTGTGATTGGGGTTCACCTTCAACTACCAGTAACTACCGCTTTGTAAGTTCTTATTACAAAGCCTAAAGTACAACAACTTAGAGGGACCCTACAAGAAAGCAGGTTTGAACAGTTCAACGTATGAACCCTTCAGGTTAGACTTTGTGTCTAAAATTGTGGGCGAAGACTCTAAGCTACTACAGTATATGTCGCACAGTAGATCTTCAGGTACTGGTATCCCCGTAATGAGACTCACAATGTAGACGCAGGGGGCAAAACCCTAGTGTAAGCCCTGCTTCAGATGTCATATCCGGGAACCTGACTGAAAGCCCTATCACCTAAACCCCGAAACACCAAACCCCCAAACTCCTATCGCACGTGTATAGAACGGGTCAATCCTTAAGAAATTCTGGTAGTTCTTATTGACACTCCTAACTGAAGCGTACTTCTTCCAGATCCTTAAACCCTGAACCTTAAACCCTTGTCGGCGACGTCTCCTTGTTCGCTGCATTGGATGCCCACTCCAGTATCCTCAGAGGCACGAACGAACGCTAAAAGCAAACCTTGAAGGACCCTTAAAAGGAACCTGAGGGCCCAAGTACCTAATAGTCACATACTCTCCTGAATACTAAGCTACAACACTACTATCCGTAACCCAAGTACATGGTTATGAGGTCCTTTGGACCCTTAAGGGAACGCTCCAAGGAATTTTGAAAGGAATCCTGCAAGCATCTGGTTCAGGGTTTGGGGTTTGGGGTTAGGGTCAGCCCTAAACGCTAAACCCTTTGGCATGATTTGGGTTCACTATCGCAACGTAACGCGCGCAGATAGCCTACGCAGACCCTAAGACCCCAACCCTGAGTTCGTCCCAGAAGATCTCCCTTTGCTAGGGGGCCCTTTGGAGTCCGAGTCTTTAAAACATAAAATCCGGTCTAATCCTGACATATGCCCTACAATATGTTATACCACTCTATACTCAAAAGCCTAGGCCGAAGGTAAGGCTCCAATATTGAAGAAATTTGCATTAAAGAACCCTGTTATACAACTGTATACGCAAAAGCCTAGACCTTAGACCTTAAGGCTCGAATATTGATATAAAATTAATTAAAGAACCCTGTCAACATCCCAGAGAACTCCTAAACCCTAAACCCTAAACCCTGAGACCAGCACTCGTTGCGCGCGGGCTGACGCGACTCCTCCGGAGCAAGGAAGTCTTGGGTCCCACCTTTACAGGGTTTAGGGTTTAGGGTTTAGGGTTTAGGGTCTAGGGTGTAGGGTTTAGGGTTTAGGGTTTAGGGTTTAGGGGCATAGTATCTAAGGACTTTAGGAGGGACCCCTTATGGGGGCCCTTAATCCCATCACCTTAAATAACCCTTGTATGGTCCTTATATACCGCTTATGTAGCCAGGTAGTCTCCATATTAAACCCAATAACCTACAAGGGTCCCTATTAAGGGTCCCTCCTAAAGCCCTTAGGTAATATAACACAAGTGTCTCACACTAGTTACAGTAGTGGGGATTAATATGGAGGCTGGGTACTAAGAAATTCGCCAACCCTAAACCCTAAACCCTAAACCCAGTGACTTGAATTGGACTGTCTGCGCAAGACTGCCAACTCCCACGCGTTGGCCAATGCCACATCGCAGAGTGGGGGGCGAGCCTTGCTCATCAGCTTCTTTGCCGTTTTTATAGTACATGATAGTATATTATAGCATATTACTTAGCTGCCCAGTACCCTGGCCCCAAAAAAGTTTAAACTTTTCTTTTAGTAGGGGTTTAATATACCAAGATAGTTTAAAGTTTACCTATTGGGCTCCTAAGATATTATGTGGCTGCCACCGTCTGTCTTGCCGTTGCCCTTCAGCAAGGACTTCACGGAGCTTTCCAGGGGGCCGCGGCTGTCTTGCCTTCCCTCTTGGACTTTGGAGGCTAAACCCAAAACGCTTTCCCCTAAACCCTAAACCTTTGACCCCAAACCCCAAGCACTAGAACTAAACCTTAAAAACCCCTAAACTCCGAATACCCAGGCATCTGAAAGCTCTGCAACTGGAGGTTTTGCAGTTCTTTCTCGCCCATTCGTTTTTTTCATGTAGGGTGTGCGGCGGTGTAAGGTCTAGAGTGTAAGGAGTAGGGCTTAGGGGTTCGGGGTTTTGGGCTTAGAGTGTAAGGTTTAGGGTTTAGGGCTTCGCTTGCCAATTAGGTCACTTGTCTTTCTCGCCAGGTGGGCAATACAGGGGTCTTCATATTTGCAAGAGGTTGTTTGCCGTGTTGTTGTGTAGATGTTAGCATGAACTCTACATATGGACAATTATTCAAGCTTCTACCCGCTTTTGGTCACCAATATAGTACGGCACTCTTGTAAGAAGCACTCGGATTTGGACAACTATCCAATATGGGTAATTATTCAAGCTGCTACACTGAGCCCCTAAACCCTAAACGTCGTTGTCGGTTTGCCCAATGATTGCCTCACGGACTGTCACAAACACGGTTCTCGATCCCTGCTCATGAAGTACGTCAATCAACAGAACCGCAAATTCCGTACTCTTTAGGAAAGGGACCTTATAGTATGTAGAGCAGGGTTATTGGGGTATATTATTAGGGTATATGATACGATGGTATTGGTAATTAGTTAGGCTCCTCTATCACCTAAACACCTCGAACGCATAAAATGCAATCCTTTACCTAACATCCCGATATGGGACTTGAGTCATGTGTTCATTCGGGGTTGATTGGCCCCCTACCGCACAACCCTTCCTTAAGAATACCCTAAACCCTAGACCCTAAACCGCGTGTGAGGGATCCTCGTTGACTCAGGGTGTAGGTTGGCTCCAAACAGGATCACCGCGGTAAAAGGGCTTGTGGCTAGGTGGTATTATTAGGGGTAGCCCTTAAATGGTACCCCTTCTGAACCCTACTTTTGGCTCTCTTAAAAGGGGCCTTGTTGAGAGGGTCTATATCCCCAAGGGTCCCCCTAATCCTAGCTCCCAATGACTCTGCCTATAACCTGCTGGTTCATTCGCTGGAACCTCTAAGCAGAACAACCCTGAACCCTAACAAGACACCAAGACTCCAAAACCCCAGTACTCCTGAAGCTGTCAGGAAAGCAGAAACCCCCGCAAGACACTTATAAACCCCTGCAGAGCACTGTGAAATTGGTTAAAAAAATAGGAAACCCTACTTAAATGTACTTGTATCTTTACTTACTAAGTCCCATGATCCTCCAAGTACCCTAAACCCTAAACCCTCCAAGTAAACTCTATTCCCTAAACCCTAAACCCTAAACCCTAAACTGCGCCTTCGGCTCTCCGACAGCACGTCCCGCGGCCACCGTCGAAGCCGACAGCGCTCCGGCGGGGACGCGTCGCCGCAGGAAGATTGGGGTCTGGCACGGTTTAGGGTTTAGGGGTTTAGGGTTTAGGGTTTAGGGTTTAGGGGTTTAGGGGTTTAGGGTTTAGGGGTTTAGGTTTAGGGTTTAGGGGGGTTGAGGGCTTAGGGTATAGGGTTAATGGGAGTGATCAGAAGTGTGTTCTAATGTAGGGGCCTTAAAAATTTGAATAGTGTTTTGGGCTCCGTTATTGTGTTTTATATTAAGGAACCCTAACAGTACTATATTTCAGCTTCTCCATTATACTCTTTCTTGTTTATTTAACTCGAGCTCTGCTAGACGTGAGTGTAAAACCTGCAAGCTCATCCGGTCTATAGCCCTAAACCCTAAACCCTATAGCCACCACGGGCGCAGCAAGGACGCAAGTGGCAGCAAAGGGGTGAGGGAAGAAGTAGGGAAAACAAACGCAAACACTGACGGGCTGGGCACTCGACAGGCACTCCTACAGAGGCAAAGGGTCGAGGGAAGGAACCCCGAAGCCTAAAGGACAAGCCAAACACCCCCACAAGGCAGCCCCGGAGAAACCTGCGCAC